ACTCTAAACTGTATAAATAATGTAAAATTAAATTGAATTTATTAGCCAATCAGACGAACTTCTGCCTATGTCATGTATGTACTGATAGCAAGATCGAATGATTTTATTGCAGATCCAATCAGCATTTTGTTTTTGTTATATTCTGTTTTAGGTTAGTCTAATGTTTTTTCTTAGAGTTCTTGTTAGATGCAGGTTTATAGCAATACTAGGATTATAATTGCATATGATTAATTATTGTTTAAGTTGTTATAAATATTAGCAAAAGAGTAGTGATTATTAGGCTCAGGAGTTTGAGGAAGGCGTGCACATATGAATTGTAAGGGAAAGGGAAGGCATTATAAGCAGTGTTAAAAATTTGGCACAAATATGTTGTGCAAAAAATTTTTTTATATGTAAATATTATTCTATTTTTTGTGCATTTGCATAGCCTTATTGTTAATTTTGTGCAAATAACAATATATGCACAATGAATTTTTAACACTAATTATAAGGATGGCAGTTTAAGAGTTAATAGCCATCTTTTGTTTCATTATTATTTGCTTTAAAAAAGATTGGCTTATTCATTCTACCCATTCTTCCAATAGTAAATGGCTTAGCAGCTATGCACAGTGCAATAATCACAAAATTGGACCTTAGTTTATTTTATAAGAATAAGGATTTCATGGTTGCCTTAGCAGTGCAAGAACCTTCAAGTTGTTTTTGGTTCATAGCAGTAATAACAGTGCAAGAACTATAAAAAAGTTTATAACTATGTATAAAGAGGCATATATATTTAACAACTTATTTATCTTTTTAGCTATGCAAATATCACTTATTGTTTTAATAAGGTTGTTCAGCATTGTTTTAGAAAGTAGTTTTTTTAGAATAGTTGTTTAGTCTGGGGTGTCAGAATAGTACAGAAGTTAGAAAGAATTTAGAGAATAGGAACTGTAATGGGTTAGTTCATTTGAGATTAACTATTAAGAAAAATACTGGTCATTTTTTTTTGTAAAGATAGAATAGACTTGATAGTAAACCTATTTCTATATGTTTTTTCTTCAAATAACAATAAAGTTTCTGATCAAGCAATAATAATAACAGATCTTGAATAAATAGATTTTTATAGATTTTCAAACTATATTAATTATCACTTGTCATTTTCATATAAGTAATATATATATAAATTAATTATTATTAGCATTGTTGATTTAATATTGGTTATATAAATATTAGTATTAATTAAAATAATATTCGAAATAATATATTTACTTATTAATATACTCTTGTTAATTTCTATTTGGTTTGTGACTAAAACTTTTGTTCAAGTTTTATGAGTTAAAAATAAATTATTATTAGAATTATCACTAGTATATTAATTTGTATAATGTTTTACTGTAATATAAAAAGATTTTTACTTGCTGTATTAACAAACAAATAGTTAAATTACTTAAAATTAACATTTATTAGCATTAGAATATTTACTTGTACATAATGTGCTGTAAAAAAAAACAAAAAAATTTTTATATAAATAACTTATTGTATATATAAAAAATCTGTTAATATAACAAAATTACAACTAATCAAGAAAATTATACTGATCAATATTCAAGACTTGGAAAATCACTACTAATCTATGCAAGTTGATTTTAAGAAGCAAATTTTTTATTATTTTAAAAAAAATTTTTATATTATAAGACTCTATATAAAAAAAAAAACTATAATAAATATAACCTGGATGTGATAAAAAACTGTTGGTTACAAACTTAGATCAATCTAAATGCTCAACACAGCTCTGATTAAAATAGATCTGATAATATAAAGTTTATATATATAAATTTATTCTGTTTTAATCAAAAAGGAAATATAGTGAATCACAAGTAATAACAAAGACCAATACAATTAAATGCACATGTACAAATATATATATATATAGAAATTATTAGAGATATACTAACAAAAAAGATAAAAAAAGGGTTAGCTAACTTTCAACCTTAACTCTTTTTATAATATATATATAATAATTCTAACAAATAATAAAATTATAGAAGTTAATTAAATTATTTAAAAAAATAAAATTAATTAACTTATTAGTTTACAAAATAATATATAAATAAATAAACATAATTTTTTTTATTATAAAAAACTTTATTCAAAAATTAACTCTTTCCAATGATCACCTGGACCAAGTTGGTACTGAAAGTAGATTGAAGACTCTGGCTTCAAAGTGGATAATATTCTTAGTTTTACATTAAATAAACTTGCTGTTGACAAAGCTCAAGTACATGATACACTGAGAAACAGGTGAAACTTGAGTGATTCTTGCCTTGGATTAAGCTTTTTGTCTGATGGACTCTCTCACATATTCGGCATCCAAACTGAAAGAATATTTTGGAAGCAAGTAAAGACAAAATCAGTTCTCTGGTTAAGAATATTAGAAGCAGAAGAAAAAAAAGAACTAGGAAAACTCTCCTTGACTTGGACCTTTGCAACAACAATATACCTCCTCTTTGTCTTTTTTTTGTTTTCTTTTTTCGAAAAAGTGGGGATTTGGCTCATCTCTATCAAAAGATTGACATCATGCATTACTTTCTTTTTCAGTTATATGCTTGTTTGGACATGGCAAATAAGAAACACAACTAACACGTGAGTCGGCCAATCATGTAAAGCAGATTGGAAAAGGATTTAATCTGGAAAGACTAAAAATATATTGAGATATGTATATATTCTGAAGCCATGTGCATAATATTTTTAAAAAAAATAGATACAGGAGTTTATGAAGAATTGGACCACTTAAGTACACTCCAAACCATGGCACAGTACCTCACTTATTTGAAGATTCTCCTATATGGAAAGTGCCCAGCTCAAACTCCGTCCTACAAATGAATACAGTTTTCATTCTGGCTAAGAGTACCTAGTTTCTAGAGAATAGCCATAGCCCATAAAAATATGAAAACATTGTAGTAAGCAGCAATCATAGAATAGAGTTTCATCTTGTTAGCAGGTTTTCTTCTTTATTCTCCTTATAAATTAGTTTCATTTTCTTTTTGTTAGTTTTATTTTACTCACCATTTTCGGTCCTCTCTTCTTCAACTTTAAAATCATTTTTTTTTTTTTTTGTTTTTCTCTTCCCTACAAGAAGTGTCTCCAGATTGGCAGTATTCTATTGTAGGGGAGAGGTTAGACCAGTCATAATTTCTAGTCCTAACTGGGTTAGTGCAGCAGGG